TCCAAACTCCGGCGAATGGATTCCCACAGTTGATGACGCCGTAGATAAAAATGCCACATCATTTATGAACAAAACTCAAACTTACAAAACACCATATATAAAAGCCTATCTAATGAAACTTAAACAACGAATATTAACTTAATTAAGGTTATTTTCAAATTGATAAATCGTTTAATACAAATATAAATACTATAAATATGGAATTATATCAAGTTTTGATCTACGATATAAAAACTTTTACAGCAAAAAAACACACACCTACTTTTACACACTAAAAACTATATTATAGCCTAACTATTCCTATAAACCTTACTTCGCATATAAATAACATTTAACACATTCCTAATATTTTTCAAAAACGATTGTATGTGAAATAAAATAAAATAAACAACAAAATTTAAGTAAGTTATTTATTAAATGAATATGTAATTTCTCTTACATTTTAATAACTACTATAATTTCATTGAAAACATTTCTCACCACCGACTCCAGACTTCGGCGAATGAATTCCAACAGTCGATGACTCCGTAGATAAAAATGCCACATCATTTATGAACAAAACCGAAACTTACAAAAAACCATATATAAAAACCTATCTAATGAAATTTAAACAATGAATATTAACTTAATTAAGGTTATTTTCATATTGATAAATCGTTTAATACAAATATAAATACTATAAATATAGAATTATATCAAGTTTTGACATATGATATAAAAACATGAAATTTTCCATTTCATTATTAATTGGTGTCATTAGAAGAATCCACTAAACCAATAATCGAAAAAAATACACGTAAACATAATGATCCCGGCTCCGCGCTTGCGCGGGGAATATGCAACTAGTATACCAAAGAGATTAGTTTGATCCGTTGTTACTGTTTATGGTATTTTCTTCTTACTTAAAAACGTATATACCAACAATAATCAATAAATTTAGAAAGACCACACCACCTACTACTGGTACCATTAATCCGTTATAATGTCTTTGAATCTCCTCCAACTATGGCAAATGCAATAGACAGCGTTAACCAATAATCAGAGCAAATGAGTTCACAATTTCAGAGTAGTGAGAGTGTGCGTACCACTTTATATAAACCGGATAGCTGAGGATACATATTAGCTCAGAACGAATAAGACCCGAATATTGGAGGAGGTTTGTAGTCCTGGTTTCTAAAAGCAAGAACCAAAATAGTTTGCCGAAGATATCAACCATAAGCTGGTGATCACTCTACTTCACTCTTACTGTCTTACATTCCAGATGATTAGATGACTTCAGGAAAGCAGTCAAGCTCTGCTGGAGAAGCAAGATACACACACCGACACTCTGGATTTGCCTCATTTCCCTGCTCACAAGGATCAAACTTTATCTCTGCTGCATAATAGGAGCTAGTGTGTTGGACTTCTGAGCAGTAACTAGGCACTTTCCCCACCTTCAAGCACATTGGATTCTATGCCAATCTGTAGAAACAAATCATTTGATTTGTGACTACCACACTTACATTATTTGGATTGTCTCTTTGCAGCTGGTTTGAATTCAGTGATGTCATTATCTTGTAGATTGACTTATTCCAACTGGTTGCTATATCTGGTTCCAAAGGGTCAACATCATCATTTACTTATATAGAAGATTCTTAAGTCAAATGTAACACAGTCTTCTTAGTGATTACATTTTGATATGAAAGCGCTGATTACAATGATGTACAATGTGTATTATTCATTGATCACAATATGTAATAAATAACATTTTTATTTAACAAAACAATACAGTAGCTTGTAGTACTGGTCTTCCTTTTCCCTAAATGCATTTGATGTGTTACATACTGAAAGGGCAATTTTGTTGTGCATGCGTGAAGGGAGCCTCGAATAGAAAGAACATCAATGGATTAAGTTAAGAAGCATATATATCGCCTCATATGAATTTTCTTGCTGGAGGTGTAGATATGCTGATAAAAGCGGTTAGAAGATACTTTGTTAAAAAAACGGTTGCAAGAAACGGTACATTCCAATTCAACAAGTACCATGCCTTGGTCAATTTTGCTATTTTAAATGCCTTGTCAGAGTTTTAGATGATGTGAAAGTTAAGAAGCCAATGGCTTAATCATTTTGAGGGTCCAAATGAAAACACTGATAACAGTTATGTACTTATGTACTGTGTTGTTATTAATCATTGATCACACAATATGTGACTAACACATCATTTTATTTCAACGATACAATACAATAAGATGAACAGTGGATAATAGAGTTCAATACAAGTTATCTGAATTACATGCAAAACACCAATACAAATACATAAAATACAGAACATGCTTAGGATAAATCAAGCAGACATGCATCCAACACCACGTCGAGTGGTCGGGAAGACAAGAAACAGAGCACTGCAAACAATTCCGACCATTAATGGGAAACTCTCCATAACTTGATCCATCTCTTTCTGTTTCCCCGGAACCAGACAACCCGTGACTCTCCTGTCCGAAAACGCAATCGCCATAAACACCAAAACGCTCATCACTGCATGAACAAAGTCGTTAACCTTCAACTTATACCTCTCATCCGTCACCGGAATCGCCGCTTCCGCGAACGCGTCACCGCCTCCGAACTCAGGCGGCGGCGGTTTCATGAACACAGCGAGTCCACGTGGCGTAACGAAACCGTAATACATTTTCTCGTCCGCGGCTTTGAAACTGTCGGTGAAGTGGAAGAAGAAGCAAGACGTTGCGCAGAGAAGGAGGAGGAGATGGATCATGAGCGTGTTGATTCCGTTGCAGTCTCCGTCACGGTAGATAGACGGGAGAACCATTTCGAACATCAAGAGAGTTCCTGTCGGAAGGAAGTTGACGATCATTGATGTTTTTGAGACCGTTTTTTGAACTCCTTGAGCGACCATGCGACGTTTGCGACCTCTTCCTCCTCCGGCTGCGGCTCCTGCCGGGAGTGAAGGAAGTGAAGAGATTAATAAAGGTTTTGGTGAACGAGAGGGTGGTGATGGTGATGGTTTTTGCGGCGGAGTCGCCGTGTAGACTCTTATTCCGACGCCTTCCTCTGTTTTCTCCATCTTTACTTTTGTGTGTTTCTCTGTTTTTCTGATTAAAACAGTTTTTTGTATTGTGTGAAATGGAATGCGTCAGTTTATATAAACGGTTCTGTTCCGTTGAGACTGTAACTGTTTTATTAGAAGTGATCTCTGGAAAGAAGAAGAAACAGAACCGTTTTTTTTCTTCACAGAACTGAGGGTAGATCAGGTATTTCAAATTGTTTGAGATTGTGTAGTATTAACCGCAGCCTGTGGGGTGTTTCAATCGACCATAACCGGGAAAATATGAAGTAAACCGTAATCCATGTTTTAAATTTTGAATGAAAGAATAAAAAATGACTTAACCGTAATCCATGTTGATTTAACCAAATTAGTAATTCCTCTGTTTCGAGATATTTTTAAAAGTTGTTTCCACATAAATTAGAAAATATTAAATTTGTTTACTTTTGTATTTAACTATCAAAATTTTACTGTATTTATTATTTTTCTTAAATTTAAAGTAAAAGAAATAAATTAATATAAATTGTATTTAAATCATAAAATAATTATGTTCTAACGAATCTTTTTATTTTACTGCTTTGGTTTTGGTTATAGTGGAGATACTGATGGGAGAGTTCCAGTAACATCTACACGTTATAGCATCAAGAAGATGGGACCTAAGGTGGAGTCACCATGGAGGTCATGGTTCCACAAGAGTCAAGTAGCTGGATGGGTTGAAACTTATGCTGGAGGACTAACTTTTGCCACCGTAAGGGGAGCCGGTCATCAGGTTCCTGTCTTTGCTCCAGCGCAATCTCTTTCCTTATTCTCCCACTTTCTTTCTTCCACTCCATTGCCTGCAAAACGTTTCTGATCATTACCACCACCAAGTCATATATGGCAAGTTGTTGTGTTTTTGAAACCGTCTTTTGGTACTTATGTACCCAAATGATATAATGAGTTTCAAATGATCAATAAAATATTTTAAACATTGCGTTTGTTGGAATTAAGTTTTAATATTTTTCTTCATATTTATAGTTTTGGAGATTATATTAGGAATCTAGTACTGACCATTCAATGCTGGTGCAAGAGCCTCTGTTTTTTTTTGTTCCTCTACAGATAAAAAAGGGTACAATTACAAGAGAATATAATCTTATACAAACAATCAATACAACAAGGTTATCTTTCACACAAAAATCTAAAAAGTTACAACAAATATAGGTGGAAGAAAAGGGATCTATGACGTTGGAAACACTCCTAAACCCTAGACTCTGTCCATATCACAGCCCCTTTTTCTATCTCCTCATCCTCTTTGAAGGCTTAGTTTCCGAAGAAGACAGGACCAGCAAGAAAAAGCAGTTCTTGCCGCCCTACGTCTTTTCCCATCTTGACCATGTCTTCAAACACATAAGGACCTTTTCTCGAGGTCTCAAGAACTGTCACAAAGATTGGACATAAGACATAAATCCCATATGGGAATGTGTAAGAACAAGAAATGAATGATGTTCTGAACGTTTTCATACCTCAAGAAATGAATTGACGCATCAGAGCTAAACTCAATTCACCACTAGTGCAAAACTAATCACAAGACAAGATTAGGCCACTAGAAACAGAGAAATAATGCAGAGATTGCTGATAGAGAACCACATTTCATCTCTAAACCCATCGAAAAATCTACATAAACACGCCACATTGCCCCCTTCAACTTACTCAAACCCATGAAGCTGATAAAAACTGAGGACTAGTCAAAATCGAGACTTTGAATCAGAACTAAGTTAAACCAAGTCCAACCCATTACAATTCAAGCGGTCATAGACTGTCAATATATACATGGTGTTGGTTGTTCATATGTATTTTGGATATTCAAGTAAGCAAATGATATGATATATAAACCATTTATCATTTGATAACACTTTACAAAATTAATCTATTTTTCTAGTGTATCTATTTGTAAAGCATGCTATTTAATATGTTTGTATAAGTCAATACTGACACTTGTATGATGTATAAAAACTGATACATGTATGATATACAAACTGCAAAATAACAGTGGTTGATAATATGTAATTAATACATGTATGCTAACTAAAAGATACTTTAATGATCTATTTCCAGTGACCTAAAATTTACGCATGAGTCCGTTAACTATATAAATAATGATAACTGTATGATGTAGGGGTGGGCACGGATCGGATATCCGGGTTATTCAAGGTATTTGTGATTTGTTTTGAATATTACGGATATCTAAATTTGATATTTGTTTGGCTTCGAAAAAATACGGATATTCGGAAAAACAGATATCCGGAAAATAAATAGATATTTACAGATATTTACGGATATTTCATCCATTTTGATTAATAAAAATAATCTTAAAATTTGATACGAATTTAATTTGCAAGAATTTTTTTTTGCATGATATATAAAATAAAAAAAAATTAAAAGAACTAGTGAATTTACATATTTTTTTTTTAAATTTAAGATAGAATTATAATAACACAAAAGTTAAGAAAAAAATATAATTGTCATAGTTTTTTTCTCCTTTTTATGTAATACTTTTATATAAGAAATAATGTGAATAGAATTGTTCAAAATAATGTGTTAGAATAATAATTATATAATTCTATACATTTAAAATTTTAAATATAATCAAAATATACATATATTTATATATTTCTGGATCGGATCGGATATCTGCTTCCCAAAATTTTAATATTTGTGATTTGTTTCAATTTTAACGGATATTGATTTTTAGTATTTGCTTTGATTCGAAAGTTTACGGATATCCATAATTTTCGGATCGAATCAAAATGAATAACGGATAGAATCAAATTTAACGGATAAAATGCCCAGTCCTAGTATGATGTATGAATCGAGAAATAACAGTAAGATATAACTATAAAATTACCAGTACATATGCTAAGTTCTATTAAAAAAAAATTATGCTAAGTGGAAAAGATGACTCAAAGTTAAACACGTTCTAGTTGATCTCAAATTCCCAACTAAACAAGGTATTTATATTTTGCTTTAGTTATTCGCTTGACCAATTGGAGAAATGGAATCCAGAGAATACTACATTAAATGTTTGACACCGTTAATTGCTTTTTGAAAACGATAGCAATATTTTATTTTAGGAAATGAAAATTGACGTTAGCATAATATTAAAGAATTTTGTGTAACAAATACAATTTTAAGGAAATTGATAATTGTTACTTATTTTGTAAGTTAATTTATTAAAGTTAATTATGGTTAAAATGAAAAATGAGAATGCATGAAGGTGTAATTAAGATGTTATTTCAAAAATTAATTTATATTTGTATTTCAATTTTAATAGATTAGATGATGCAAAAACTCTGTAGCTGAGAACTGTGTCTTCGTGACTTTTTCTTTATGGTTTGAAAAGAGTTAGACTTGAATGTTTTTTTTCCTTTATGTTTTAGTTTATGCAAGAGTAATGGAGTTGAACTGGCTTCAATTAATTATTATTTCCTTTTTTATTTGTTTATTTTTTAAAAAGTTCACTCCTTTCCTCTAATTTGTTTTCAACACGCTCAGCAGGTGCATTACTATTGGTCATCATCAATAACCCAAATTAAAAAAAAAACACAGAGAAAACCAAAAAGAATTTCGATCTATATTTAGATATTTGTTAGGTCGGATTAAATATATAATATTGGGCCTTCACTACGCCCAGTTAAATAGAACTAGAACTTATACTAAACTAATGCCGATTAAATTACAAGTGAGAAAGATACTAAACTAGTAGCGTCCATTTGTAATTAACCGGCAGTTGTCACATTTGAAGGTGATTGAAAACAATTGAGACTTTTAGGCAACTAGTTTAGTATCTTTTTCACTTTTGGTAACTAGATTCCACACTTTTCATTTTTACTTTGTATGTGTCTTGTAAATTTCATTTTTTGTGTGTTTTTTGTCATGATGTTCTCTGTTCTTTCACGTGATAGGAATGAAAATGCATCCATGGATATGCAAATCCAGTTGCTATGAATGGTGTGAAGAAAATCAAGTATGTTTTGAGCTACAATTTTCCTATATGCTTGTGCAAAGAGTAGATTTCATTGAGAAGCTTAAGAATAAATATAGCAAAACACATTTCAAGGTTTATAAGAATAGAAGTTATAGTAGCATTTGGGTCTCAGTTTTGGAGAATTTTGTTTCATTAGACTCACCAACATTCTCTGCTGCTATTTATCTGCTCCCTCTTTGTTCTACCTATAATGAAACTTGAAGAAGGACAATTCTTATTTTAGATTTATTCATAGATATTGAAAAAATAAAATTTGTACATTTTTCAATTTACGGGAAAATGTTTGTCAGCTACACGAAGAATATAGTAATATGGTGGAAACCATCCAATGTTTCAAAATATGTTGATAACTACACGATGTTTCTATTAATACATACCACACATGCAAAGTTATAACTAATATGGTGGCAACATTATGAATCGGTGTAATTGGTTTTTGTTTAGTTAATGAGATCATTATGTAATTTTAAAAACCTAAACACCAATTATCAAAAACCGATCCGACCTAATTCCCTATACCCGAGAAGTAACTTATGTTTTCCCCAAAACGAATTTCTTAGGATTCATAAGTGAGAAAATTGATTTTGGAAGTTTTTTTTTAATAGAGAGAGAAAGAAATGAAAAATTGATTTGGGATTTTTAACAGAGAGATGAAGAAAATTGATTTTGTTATTCTGCTCTTTGTTATTGTGTTTTTGTTGTAATGTTTCAACATCAAATGGTCAAGATTTTGTACAACACATTTTGTCATATTAATATCTTTTTGATTCCTCTGTCAAACTTGGTTTTGTTGACTTTTATTCAAACATCAAGAATTGACTCAAACTTGTGTAGGCGCATAAGAAGTTCTGGGCCTTGATCCATGAGAAGTTGATGTATCTGAATTACAGGAGCAGAGGAAGTGTATCAGCTTGGGCCCTTGAACGAATACGAAACGTCTTGAAACATTATCTAATCTCTCTTCAAATAATTACTAAGCAAAAAGATACTTATAATCTTGATTTCTTCTTCTACAAAATGTACATGAAACAACATGCCCTTATTAGCATCCATGACATCAAAATCCACATACCAAGCGTGTTGCAATAACATGAGTTAAGGTGAAGAAAAAAAAATTGGAAAAAAATTAATGGCTTCGCCCGGGTTCGAACCGGAGACCTTCAGTGTGTTAGACTGACGTGATAACCAACTACACCACGAAACCTTTTTGTTAACCAATTATAAACTAGGAAATGGATATACTCATTGAAGTTGGTATCACCTAACCCGACAAAACCCACGTGGTTTATTCTCTTCGGTTTGTTTTCTTGTCCGAACCAAATCCTATAATTTTTAAATTGATTTGTTTTCTCCGTGGAGAATACTAAAGAGAGAGAGAGAGAGAGGGGCCAGCGAGTGAAACGAAAGGCCACCACCATTCTTCAATCTTTCTCCACAATAATGGCGGCCACAAGAGTGATTACTGCAACTGCCGCCACCTCCTGTTTCCTCGCTAAACGAGCTTTCGTTCTCCCTGCGAAGAGATCATGCGGCGGCGGCGCTCTATCCTTCAACAACAGAAGAGCTTTGGTGTTGAAATCGAAGAGACCCTTCTCTTGCAGTGCCATATACAATCCTCAGGTTAAGGTCAAAGAAGAAGGCCAATCCGAAACCCTAGATTATCGTGTCTTCTTCCTTGATGGCTCAGGAAAGAAGGTACCTTTCCCTCTTTTTTATTGGTCTTTTACTAAAAGTCAGAGCCTTGCTTTCTCTATGTTTTACCATAAGAGATTTTTAATCTGTGTTAAAGCTCTGTTTTTACTGTGTCAGATTGAGGAAATGGGTTTCTCTGTTGTACCAAAATCCAAAAAGTTTTGCACTTTATTGTTATTTTGGAATACTCTTGTGGTTATGCATTGAAAGGTTGTTTCTTTAGAACTACATTGTGAAGTTTTTGTTGAAAATGCCTTTGATTTGTTACTCTGTTCTGTGTTAAAGCTCTGTTTTCTGTGACAGATTGAGGAAATAGATTTTCTGTTTTGCCAAAATCGCAAAGATTTGACATTTTTGTTATATATATCGCATTGTTATTTGGACTACACTGTGTTGTTGGATTTGATTATGCACTGAAAGATTGTTTTTAGATGTACATTGTGAATTTTTCGTTGAAAATGCCTTTGATTTGTTGCTCTGTTCTGTGTTAAAGCTCTGTTTTCTGTGACAGATTGAAAAAATAGGTTTTTCTGCTTTGCTAAAATCTCTAACGATTTGACATTTTTTGGTATATATCGCATTGTTATTTGGACTACTCTTGTTGTTAGATTTGATTATGCACTGAAAAATTGTTTCTTTAGATCTACATTGTGAACTTTCGTTTGAAAATGCTTTTGACTTGTTACTCTGTTCTGTGTTTTTTTTTGTTAAAAGGTTTGAATATGCATTATTGTGTATAGGTTTCTCCATGGCATGATATACCCTTGACCTTGGGAGATGGAGTTTACAACTTTATAGTTGAAATCCCTAAAGAGTCAAAAGCCAAAATGGAGGTTGCTACTGATGAAGACTTCACTCCTATTAAGCAAGATACTAAGAAGGGAAAGCTCAGATACTATCCGTAAGTGAGATAGTTTCCTTCAGTATTCATTTAGACTTCATAAGGCTTATACTTCTTGGATATATCCAGGTACAACATAAACTGGAACTATGGGTTGCTTCCACAGACATGGGAAGATCCATCTCAGGCAAACGCTGAAGTTGAAGGAGCTTTTGGTGATAATGATCCAGGTGAATTTTGTGTTTTGTCTACTGAAATATGTTGTCTGATATCACTTGAGTTGTTATCAATGTTTTTATTCTTGGTTATGGATTTGTAGTTGATGTTGTTGAGATTGGTGAAACACAAAGGAAGATAGGGGAGGTTCTTAAAATCAAGCCTTTAGCTGCATTAGCTATGATTGATGAAGGAGAGCTAGACTGGAAGATTGTTGCTATTTCATTGGATGACCCAAAAGCTCATCTTGTGAATGATGTTGATGATGTGGAGAAACATTTTCCTGTAAGAGCTGATCTTAGTAATAGAAACAATTCTAAATTTTCAAACCTTGTTTCTGACCTTTATATATAATCTGGTGTGTATCAGGGTACATTAACAGCTATTAGAGACTGGTTTAGAGACTACAAGATCCCAGATGGAAAGCCTGCTAACAGATTCGGTCTTGGAGACAAACCAGCAAACAAAGTAAGTGTCTTGTCATGTTTTGGGTTACTGAAACCGAGAGAGAAGCTATAACACTTCTGGTTTGGTGTTCTTTTTTTTTTTTTACAGGAGTATGCATTGAAGATCATTCATGAAACAAATGAATCATGGGCTAAACTTGTGAAAAGATCAGTTGATGCTGGAGATCTTTCACTTTTCTGAAGAGTTAATTGTCATTCTTGTTTTTCTTTCTTTCTTTGAAAGATATCTAAACTTTGAGCTTTTGTTTTTTCACCATATTGATGACTGAGAATTAATAAAAATACATTATTGTAACATTTATATTCTTGGAAAGAGTATGAAACATAGGCTTTGATTGAATTTCCATTAATTTGATTGCATTATCTAGAAAGTATTTTATATTTTCGTATTTGTAGAACAAATCTAAACGGTAGCTAGATTTTAGTACCTAACAAACACATCGTCTTTCCCTATTTGTATGTGATAGTGATTCCATGTTTTAAGGAAGCTACCTAACCATCTTGATACGTGTTTCAAGTTTCTGTTCACTTCTTCTTTCAATGATTCTTGCTTCGTCTCTCTGATATAACTCCCAAAAGACTTCCTTCGCCCTCACGGTACTGTATTTCATTTCTTCTTTTTAACCTAAGACGCTTAAGTTTTCTTATTTTAGCCTGTTCTCTGTTCCTAACCCTGTTTGTTGTGTTATTTTTCTCATTTGTCTTATATTTTTGTAACAAACCATGTCTTATAATGTTTGTTTGATCAACAAACTAACTACATTTTACAGATTAATCAAAAGAAAAAAAAATGGATCCGATTGCTGCAGTGAAAGATGGATTTAACCAAGTTACTAAAAGACAAAAGCATTACCACTCCACTTCCCAATTTGTCATTGATCAAGCTTTTGAAGGATTCGTAGACTCAATGGTTCAGATCCTAACCAAGAACGACCTCAAAACAGTTCTTAACGAGCTGAAGCTTAAGCTTGACTCTCTTTCACCTATTAACCAGCTCCAAGAATCACAAAAGGAATGTAACACCAGTCTCACAAAGTTTGAGAAAGCTCTTGGAAAATCTGATATGTTTCCAGCCTCCAGAAGCATTGATTTGGATCACAAACTAGTTGAGAAGATGCTTGTCGAGTATTTTTACCGACAAGGGTTGTTTGAAGTTGGAGATTGTCTGGTTAAGGAAGCTGAAGTAGAAGTAGATGATTCACTAAGTAGAGCTCTTGAAATCCACCGAGTAACCCAGCCATTGAGACAGAAAGACATAGAGCCTGCGATGAGATGGATCTCTGAGAACAGCGAGAAGCTGAAGGAAAACGGTCCAAAACTGGAGCTGGATCTCATAAGTTTAAAGTACTGGGAGATGTTAAGACAAGGCAAGAGTTCTGATGCTTTGAGGTTTGCAAAAACTCATTTCCCGAAGTATGCTACACTCTACACTGGAAAGATACGGAGGCTTATAGTTGCTCTCTTATGGGTTAAAGATCTTGAGAACTATCCTCATGCAGAGGAGATGTTTTCAATGTCTTGGCACAAGACAAGTAAAGAGCTAACCAAACAATACTACAATCTCTATGACCAACCATCTAGTTCTCAGTTAGCAGTGGCGTTATCAGCTGGTATACAGAGCTTACCTAAGATTTTGAAGCTGATTCGTGTGATGGGTTTGAAGAAAGAAGAATGGGAAGAGATGAAACAGCTTCCGGTTGATATGGAGTTGGGAGATGAGTTTCAGTTTCACTCGGTTTTCGTTTGTCCGGTGAGTAGAGAGCAGAGTGATGAGGAGAACCCACCGATGATGATGCCATGTCGTCATGTTCTTTGCAAGGAGTCAATCTTGAGACTCTGCAAGTGCTGTAGTACTCGCATGTTCAAATGCCCTTATTGTCCTGCACAGACCACAGCTGCAGCATGTAGACAGTTATACATTTGAGAGATAAGATAGTTTGGTAACATGGCTCAGACTCATCAGCAGTAGTAGTACTGTTCTTGTTTCAGCTATAAATAAGCTGCAGCTTTCTTTCTTCTTTAGTCTCTAGGTGAAACTAGTTCACAAGATATGTATTGTGTATCTTGGTAGCTACGTTAGGGTAATAATCAATTGAATTCTCCTATAACATCCAATCCCATCAATAAGGTCTGAGAACAAAGAAAAAAAAAGCAAATAATCTCAACAAAAAGTTAGATCTTACTTTCTTAAAGGCAATGAGTTTGAGAAACGTTTCATCTCTTTACTTATATAACAAGTCACATAACAAAAGGTTTTCAGTAGAGGAACATTAACTCGACTTCACTACAAAAGCTTACTCCAAACAAGTTTGGTTCATATAGAAGTTTATTCCAGAAAAACATAAGCATTTCTCGTTGTTCTCAAGGTAAAGGTTTCCTTGAACATAGAACTCAACCATGATCTAACCTAATCTCTTTAACGCAAACTCGCAAGAATTTAAGCAGACTCTTTACTTCTTCACTTCCTCGTAGTCAGCCTCTGGAGTTTGATCACTGGTGCCTCCCTGAGCTCCGCCTCCTCCTGGTGCAGAATCCCCACCAGAACCGCCACCAGACATGTGCTCTCCTATCTTTGAAACAGCTTTGTTTGCAGCATCAATCTTAGCCTTAATCTCGTTGACATCATCTCCAGACGAAGCGGTCCTTAGATCCGCCACAGCATCTTCAATCTCCTTGGCGACTTCACTCGGGATCTTCTCTCTGTATTCACCGAGGCTCTTCTCTATGCTATAAATCGTCGTGTCGGCTGTGTTCTTGGTGTCGATCAAGTCTTTTCTTTCCTTGTCTTTCTGAGCGTGCAACTCTGCGTCTCTAACCATCTTCTGGATGTCATCCTCCGAGAGTCCACCAGATGATCGGATTGTGATCTGTTGCTCTTTACCAGTCGTCTTGTCTTTGGCGGAAACAGTGACAATGCCGTTTGCATCTATGTCGAATGTTACTTCGATTTGAGGGATGCCTCTTGGAGATGGTGGAATGCCCACTAGATCGAATTCTCCCATTAGCTTGTTGTCTGATGCCATTTCACGCTCTCCTTGAAGTACTCTGATCCCAACTTGCGTCTGATTGTCTGCTGCAGTTGAGAACACCTTCAAGATAAAGAAAAAAGAGACAACAACAATACTTTAGAACAAACTTGACCAAAACAATAGATTGTGATGGGATCATCCATCAACAAGCATATCACAGGATTGTGCTTTCACTTTTAGCTTATAATAGTGTAATCATGTAGAAAGCATTGCCATAAAGAGTAACTCAAACATGCCTTGCTAAGTAGCTACAGGTCTAACTCTAACAGGTGCTTCATACCACCCTAGTTTTCTCTACTCTTATGCGATAAACTAGAATCAACCCTTCCTAGTTACTCGGTGATTTTCAATCCGTAAGGAAAAATATTTGCAGGCTTACCTGACTCTTCTTGGTGGGGATGGTTGTGTTTCGGCCAATCAATCTTGTAAAGACACCACCAAGTGTTTCAATACCAAGCGAAAGAGGTGTGACATCTAGAAGCAGCAGTTCTTTGACATCACCACGGAGGATACCACCTTGAAGTGCAGCTCCCATAGCAACAGCCTCATCAGGATTCACACCTTTACTAGGAGTCTTTCCAAAGATCTCCGCAACAACAGTTTGCACCTTAGGGACCCGAGTCATCCCTCCAACAAGAAGAACCTCATCAACTTCCTTAGCACTTATACCAGCATCCTTGAGACAGTTCTTGCAAGGATCACGGGTCCTCTCGATCAAGCTGTTCACCAGAGCTTCAAATTTTGACCTTGTTAGGGTGATGTTGAAATGCTTTGCTCCGGATGCATCAGCTGTGATAAACGGCAAATTAATCTCAGTTTGAGAAGTTGATGATAGCTCAATCTTCGCCTTCTCAGCAGCTTCTCTAAGCCTCTGCAGAGCAAGTCTATCTTTCGCAAGGTCTATCCCTTCACTGGTCTTGAACTCATTCACCAAAAAGTCTAGCAAAGCATTATCAAAATCCTCTCCTCCCAAGAAGGTATCACCATTAGTAGCTTTCACCTCGAAAACCCCATTAGAAATCTCCAAAATAGACACATCAAAAGTCCCACCACCAAGATCAAACACAGCAATCAAACCCTCCTTATTCGTCATCCCATACGAAAGCGCAGCAGCCGTCGGCTCATTAATAATCCTCTCCACATCCAAACCAGCAATCCTACCAGCATCCTTAGTAGCTTGCCTCTGCGCATCATTAAAATAAGCAGGAACAGTAACAACAGCTTTCTTAACAGACTTCCCCAAGTAAGCTTCAGCAGTCTCTTTCATCTTCGTCAACACAAACGCTCCAACCTGACTAGGAGAATACTGCTGACCATTAGCTTCAACCCACGCATCACCATTAGGTGCACGCACAATCTTGTAAGGCACCATCTTCATCTCCTTCTGCGTCTGTGGATCATCAAACTTCCTCCCAATCAAACGCTTCGTTCCAAAGAGAGTGTTCGTTGGATTCGTCACAGCTTGACGCTTCGCTGGTGTGCCAACAAGAAGCTCTCCTTTAGGGTTGAAAGCTACAACAGATGGTGTGGTTCTAGCACCTTCAGCATTTTCAATAACTTTCGGATTCTACAAAAATCAGATAAAACACACAAAGGTTAAAACTTTCATAATGTCAGATACAAAAGGAACACATTTGAATCAAAATCTTCACCTTTCCTTCCATAACTGCAACACAGGAGTTAGTAGTCCCCAAGTCAATACCGATGACGTCATTTCCAGCAGGCTTTGAGCTAATTTTTTAAAATAAAAAAGAAAAGCTTCAGAACATAAAACAAAGTTAAGATCTTTGTGTTAGCAAATAAAAGGGGAAGTTTAATTTACCTAAATGCCCTTGAGAAGCTTCTCAAGTTCTGACCTAGATAAGAACTGTTCAATGATGCTTTCCCGCTGCTTTGAATCTGCAATTAGGAAAAAAACATTGAGTGGATTCGGATCACGTAATCACTTGAAAGATCAAATTTTTATATAGATCGCGTGAAGAGAGAAGAAGATTTTACGGATTTGTAAGCTGAGAAAGGAGCGGAAGAGACTTCACGGCGTCGAATCGAGCGGAGGAGAGCGGCTGTAGCCATGGGTTTTTGAGAAATGGAGAGGCGATAGATTTGGTAAGGAGAATTGCGTCTGTGTAGTGTGTATACACTTAGGGTTTAGGGTTTTTGAAGAGAGATATTTCTAGAGATGAAGAGAAGGTTCTAGGCGGTGGTGTTTCTCGACGTGGACGATAATAGAGAAAAAAAAGCTTAAGAACGACGTCGTTTAAAGCTTACAAAGCGCGAATCTATTAGTAAGTAAACGGACGTGCTGTTGCCACGTGTAAAACTGGTAATCAGTACTCTGGAATTGGTAAAGCTGCGGCGAATAAATCTGCTCGTGTTGAGCCGATCCGGTTAGGTGATGCTGATAACTTTTATTATTATTATAATTATAATGATGCTTATTAATAAAGTTTTAGTAAAGGTCAGATGAATATTTTCAAAAAAAAAAAAACTGTTCACTTTGGTTAAATTCTGATCAGGGCATGTAGAGCTTATAAATTAGTTTATTGTTGCCTTGTTATATTGTTTCAAAGTATAAACTTGTGTACAGATTTAAAATATTAAATGATTGATTTAGTTTATACATACATTTAGCATGTAAAAAGTGTATATGTAATTAGTTTAACTTTATTTTTTCAAAATTTGAGAATCTCAATCAAGGAAAAGTATTTATCTATCATAACATAAACAACATAAATTAAAGCAAATTCAACCAGTGTTATAAGATAAGTTTCTGCAACTTTAAACTGTATTGTAAATATCCAGCAGAAAGAGAAAGGGTCACTTGCAATATAAAAACTCTTGAGTGTAGTAACAAAAGAAAGTTATTAGTTTTCTGCAGTAGCACTCGCAGCACTCAGGTTCACAAACAAATCAAGTGTCTGCAAAAAAAAAAAGACACAGGAAACACTCAGTATTCAAAATCTGGCGTCTACTTGTGACCCAAGAACTTATACGACAATAATGAGAAAATGCTTGCAAGAAGCGCCGAGAAACTGGACGACCTGGTCAGTGGCGTCATTTGAATCATTTCAAATTTTCCAATGATTAATTTATTTAACATTCATATACCACTTAATACGTGGATTAACCCCAATAAAAATCCAATTTTCTAGAGAAACGAAAACATTTAAGTTCTCAAACCTATTTAATATTCATACTATGGCGGTATATGATGTAGCTATGCATTAAAACAAAAATTCCATTTTTGATAATTTTTCTTGAAATATGTGGGCTAACCCCTTTGAAAAACCTGAATTTTCTACTTAAATACTATATATACTATTTACCATCTTTCGTGTTGTTTAAAAAATACCTAAACCCACTTCAAATATTTATATATATTTACTAAACTTATCTTTATGGCACATGTGAATAATTTCTAATTTTCCAATGATTAATTTATTTAACATTCATATACCACTTAATATGTGGATTAACCCCAATAAAAATCCAAATTTCTAGAGAAACGAAAATATTTAAGGTCTCAAACCTATTTAATATTCATACTATGGCGGTATATGATGTAGCTATGCATTAAAACAAAAATTCCATTTTTGATAATTTTTCTTGAAATATGTGGGTTAACCCCTATGAAAAACCTGAATTTTCTAGTTAAATACTATATATGATATTTACCATCTTTCGTGTTGTTTAAAAAATACCTAAACCCACTTCAAATATTTATATATGTTTACTAAACTTATCTTTATGGTACATGTGAATCATTTCAAAATTTCCAATGATTAATTTATTAAACATTCATATACCACTTAATATGTGGATTAACCCCAATAAAATCCTATTTTCTGGAGAAACGAAAATATTTAAGGTCTCAAACCTATTTAATATTCATACTCTAGCGGTGTATGATGTAGCTATGCATTAAAACAAAAATTCCATTTTTGATAATTTTTCTTGAAATATGTGGGTTATCCCCTATGAAAAAGCTGAATTTCCTTGTTAAATAATATATATAGTATTTACCATCTTTCGTGTTGTTTAAAAAATACCTAAACCCACTCCAAATTTTTATATATGTTTGCTAAACTTATATTAATGGTACATGTGAATCATTTTAAAATTTCCAATGATTAATTTATTTAACATTCAAATACCACTTAATATGTGGATTAACCCCAATAAAAATCTATATTTCTGGAGAAACGA